CCCCCACCCCGACCCCTTTTGTGTTTTTTCGTTTACATTATATTGACAGTTTGTAAGACCTTGCTGTTGAGCAGGAATTTGCATTATTGATTGCCTGTTATTATTACTGTTCTGGTTTTGGTTAGTGCTTTACGGCTTTCGCAACAGCATAAGGTTATATGAGCGTGTGCGATACATTCAACATTAATTTGTTAGTCCGGAAGGAATTAATTTTGAATTTTGCCCGGGTGGCAGTGGAAGCCTACCCTTATCGATTTTGGACCACAAAAGGATCTTTAATGAGCGCAAATTGCCCCTGGGACCTCCGACATTTTCCGCCCATATCCGAGAAGGCTAGCTAAATGTTAGATCTCACCTACGAGTACCCTAAGATCAGGGCTGTGGATATTATATAACTTATCTCCGAGGCATTTTCCACGAAGTTTCTAATTTTGCTCAGTTCTATCGGAGATGGTTGCGCTTCTTTAATAACCTTAATGCAGTGTTGCAAGAGACGTTGTCTCTATACAACTTCAATTTCATCTACTGCTCGTTTTTGTTTTGTTTGTTTATTTGTTTGTTTCGTATGTTTGCTATTTTTGTTTGCTTGGGGTTTTTTTAAGTTTTAGTAAGAATTTTAAGGCACTAATTGCAGCCTAATTAAATCATGTTTGTGCCGAATATTAGAGGTGCTACTAAAGGGTAACATACCCGAAAAAGAATTCCAACGAGCCAAACAGAATTGAAAAAAAAAATCATTTTGAATCACGAAGCTATGTTTCCTTTTTTTGTTTTTGCTATTGTAAGTACCCAAAGCGCGCTCATGTGACCTTATGTCGTTGCGAGCGCCGTAAAACTCATAATTAACGAAAACTAAAGTGTCCAAAAAGAACTGCTCGTCCTCAGTCGGTGTGAGTACTCAGTGATGTAAATCTAAGTGAGGTAAGACCACTCCAATTCCAATTTTTGTTGGTTTCCCCTCGTCCAGGCTTTACGAGAAGACATCGGCAAGATCGACGGTGTGTGTATCGCCTACGCTCAAAAGATTTTCCAGGACGCCAGTTACAAAGACCATCAATGGATCCTGCAGGTGATTTGACTTATGAACGCGCGCACACATACACACACACACACACACACACACACACATACACACACACACACACACACACACACACACACATAAAAACGCACGACTACCTACTCACTGGCGTCTGTGGTGTGGCGGTGAGGCACTTATTAGACGTCGTACGCAAGAAACCTGAGCCCAATTTTCATGTGGGGATAATTTTAAATCGAGTATCTCTCGGTCTGACTTCTGAATTGTTGTATCCCTCTTAACCC